ATGTGGGACATCAGAGTTTCACTATCAGGGCTAATGAGTCCTCGACCTCGAGACACACGCTCGTGATCACCTACTCGGTAAAGGGGGCAGAGACAGGAATGAAGGGCACCACATGCGACAGGATTGCATATTATATATTTCGCAGGGAGAGCTATTGAAGGGATAACTGACTACACGTGGTGTTCCCTCGCGTACCTTCAGCACCTGGGGGCGTGCTCTTCGATTTTGATGGGTGCAACCCCATGCCCCTTTGTGAGTCTCGCAGCAAGGACAAGAGGCGGAAGGACGACTGGATTAGGAGAGAGATAGCCTGATCCGGGGTCCCAATCACTACATGCGTCCAGAGATCAGAGACAGATGAGTCAGACTTGGAACCCTACCCTGTGAGTGACATTGATCTGGGCGACTATTTCGACTGGGACACTCACATAGGCTGAGCTTGTGGACAGTGACAGGAGCGCTGGAGACCGGTGAGCGACGACGACGGAGAGCGACTTTGAGGAGGATTGCGTTTCTTCTTGCACGGTATCTCCTTGAGGGTGATTGACACCTACATGTCAGACGACCCTAGGTCTGAGACAGTTATTGGTCCCCCAAGAGGGGAGGGTCCGGTCCCATATCTCGGAGATGGCTACAGTCATTTGGTCGGGACAGACTTTGATATGCAGGCTTATCGAAAGCCCCTTTACGGAGACCGTTTCCTCGAGGTATCCTACATCTACTCTGGTGGGAGAGGACGGATTGAGATATTGATTGGAGCTACAAGCGACATCATTCTTGCGGAGGAGCTTTATCTCAAGAGCGTCGCAAACGAGGAGATGGCTAGATGCATGACCTATATCTGCAAGATTGATCCAGTCGCGCCTCTCGATATCAGCTATGTGGTTCCAAAGTCTATAGCCACGCGGGTTCTCAATGACGAGGCGCCAGATATGTAGTCCCAGACGGCAGCACTTACTCACGAGGGGATACCGCTTATTATCTTTGATTGAGGTTCTCTCTTTGCAGTCACTATGATGTATTACGACATTGTTATTTATTAATGACTGCAGTCCTCCGATGGCTGCTCCCTGCATACTCTGTGTACTACTCTTCAGTCTTGTATCTCTGGTCATGCTCTTGCAGAGCCTGGTTTTTGATCTTCTCATTCTGTCAATTGCTCTATGAAGCATGTTTGTTATTTTCCTCCTTATTTTATACAGGTTACACTCAAGGCAGCTTGAAGGACTCCTGGATGATAGGGACTCCAATGACCTTGGGTCTAACCTTTATACGGGGTCAGGTGCAGGCGATAAACCCGAACGCCTCACTCTAAGCCATGTCGCCGCTGGCAGGAGGGATAAGCCTGACTACTCGGCTGTATGACAAAGTATGACTGCCTCAGAATACACCTCTAATTTTATACCAATCAAAATCCTGCGTGACAGTCTGCCAGTCCTCCAACCGACTGAGCTCGGTCCGGGGAAGGATATCTAACCAGACCCTTGAAGCAGTGGGGGCGCGACACCGGCCCGTAAGGGACGACTAGCCCGTGCTCTCTCTCTCTCTCTCTCTCTCTCTCTCTCTCTCCCCCCCCCCCCCCCCCCCCCCTTTGCAAAACCGATTGCCCCCGAACACAATGCACCCTCATTTTTGCTGCACTTGACCGGAATATAGCTCGTATACATTCCTTATCAGGGTGCGTTGTGTTCAAGACAGGACGCGCCTGTGCTCTCTCACTCTCTCGAGAAAAGGACTGAAAAGGGGAGTTGTGATGACAGACTGTTTCATCAGACTTCACCGACTCATTAGGAGGCTGAATCCTCACGACAGGCTGCATAGAGCCCCTTATTGATGATATATGGCATATTCATACACGGAAAGGCAATTTCAATGTACTCTCTGAGGAGCCTAAGAACCTGTCAACAGGCAATTTACTCTATTAAGAGCCTAACACACACACCGAAGAAGTGTCTATGCCCTCACTAAACCATGGAGAAAATTTGTTGGAAGTGTTGAATGTGTTCAGTTGTAGATTTAAAGTTTAAACCCTGGCTTTTCCGGCTTCATGCCTGCTGCTTTTGAAGATACGAACGCTGCTACTTTTACACGTTTGCCCTGCAGGTCCAAAACTGAACTGTGGGTATTGACCAACCTCGAGTTGGGAGAATGACTATACGGATATATAGGCAGACCGTGATCAAGAGGTTTCCCTCGTATACTGCCCTCTTCCTCCTTGTGGCCTTTTCAACCAACTTCTGTACAGTGGCCAAGCAGGCAACAGTCTGTAAATCTGCTGAAGTTTTTTTTTTCTTTTTTTTTTTTAATAAAAAAAATTCACGGCCTTATGGCCATGGCTCCATATCCACCCTGGGGAGCATCAGCTCGGTTCCTTTCCCCCCCCGCAAGTTGTAGAATTAGTATACATCAATTTTGCACACACTCTTCAGTGGCCAAACAGGCAACCGTCTGTAAATCTGCCGTTTTCTTTTTTCTTTTTTTCTTTTTTAATTTTAATCAGGGCCTTATGGTCATGGCTCCATATCCTCCCTGGGGAGCATCAGTTTGGTTCCTTTTCCCCCGGCAAGTTGGAGAATACATCAATTTTGCACACCCTCTTCCTTCCCTTTTGCCAAAGGACCCCTGAACAGCATTGATTACTCCATTCTCGTCAAGGATCGACTGGCAGCTTGCCTCTCTTGCAAAAGAAGGTTTTCTTCACGAAGTGGGAGAGGCAAAAGAAGGTTTTCTTCACGAAGTGGGAGAG